ACTAGTGGTTGGTCTCTGTGTTGGTGGAGAGAGTGCCTATGTGCATAAGATCACAGAGACCCTGAAGTCTTGAAAGACAATGCCTTGGAAACCATGAATTTCAGTGCATAAGAATGAAATTTTGGATGAAGAAGATAAAGACGTATTGAAGTCTTTTCTTTGAAGTCCTGGTTTGAAAAGGCAACTAATCTTACTTAAAAGCTACTTCTTGGAAATTTTCCAAGGAACAAATGATCCCAACTTTTGCTTGGTAAGGAGCATACACCCTGGATCTGGAGTACTGCAAACAGATTATCTGTTGACTCCAATGATTCATCTTCCTAATTACACTTTTCCTAGGTTCATATTAAAATGTTTGCTTTTCCTTTGTACACACTGACAGCAGGAGTAACATGCTGGGAGTCAGTAAAAAAGCTATCTTGAGATTAAACATTTGTTATAGAAAAACTGGCTGTATACAAAAACATAAAAGTGAAGGGGGGCAGAGATTTATTTCCTTTTCAACAACATGGAATATTTATACCATTATTAATTTGCTGGGTTGTCAAGATGCAGACAAGACCAAGAGTGTGCCTGAAGATTCACCCCCAATTCACCACCCCCTTTGGGGTCCTTTGACCATCACTGAACCTCTGTCATCAGGGCAAACTCTTCCTTGGCTCTGATTACTTTCTTTATAGGAAGGGAGATGAAGAATTTCAGCCACTCTTGAGATATATAATTCTGGATAATCATACATTAAGGAATCTAAGAGGACCTTAGAGATGGTCTTTCATTTGCCAGATGAGGGAATTGAGACTTTTGTGCCTTGTCCAAAGTCATACGACTTCTTGTCATGAATCTCATATTTTTTAATGTTGATGAGTTTTCTCCAGTGGTAAACAGAGTATTGGTCTATAAATCAGCAGGAAAAGTCTTAATCCTATATTAACCCTGTGAAATCATTTTGTGTGATGGCCATGTATGCATTCCTCCAATTCTGATTTTCTGCTTTTCTTTCTCTTTTCCAGGAATTTGCTTCTCTCAGCTCTTGGATTTACCACCAGAGAGAGGAATGGTGTATGAACAGGCTCTCCCAGAATGTGTTTCCCCCTCTTTGTAGATGCCCTGTGCCAGGCTGGCTAAGATGATTTCATCTGGAATCAGTGATAAAGCCTCAAGATCTGAATCATAGGATCAGTTGTTTTGTTGAACCTTATGAAAACCAGGCTCAGTGAAAATCATGACCATGACTACAATAAAATTGTCTCATATCAGTACTACCTAACCCCAACAGGTATAAATACATCTCTGTTGTGGTAGAAGTAGGGGAATACCAATTGTGGACTCATAATGGTCCTACCTGGCTAGCCCCATTCTTATTTATCCATTATTTAAATTATATGTATTTTTAAAAAAATTAACATTTGTTTTTTTCTCCCTCCAACCTCTATCTACTGGAGGGGAGAGGCCTTATAAAAAGTTTGCATAGTCACACAAAACACATTCCCACATTGGCTATGTCCAAAATTGTGTATCTTATTCTGCAGCTTAAGTTTATAATTTCTTTGTCAGAAAGTGTGTAGCATACTTCATTGTCAGTCCTTTGGCACCATGGTTTATCATTGCATTGATCAATTCTGAAGTCTTTCAAAGTTCTTGGGTTTTTTTTGTTTTGTTTTGTTTTTTATCCAATGTGTTGTCATTGTATAAAATGTTCTCCTTATTCTGCCCTACATTATTTCAAAAAAGTCTTCCCATTTTCCTCTGAAACTTCATTTTGTCATTTCTTATAGCATAATAACAGTCCATTCCACTCACACACCATGAAATGTTCAGTGATTTACTAATTGGTGTATAACACTTTAGTTTCTAGTTCTTTAACACTACAAAAAGAGATGCTAAACATATTTAGTGCATATAAGATACTTTCCTCTTTGTTTGGTCTCTTTGAGATATCTATGGGTGTCATTGCTGGGTCAAAAACCTTGAACAGTGTACTACCTTTTGAAGCAAAGTTACAAGTTGCTTTCCAGATTTAAGGGATCAGTTCACAACTCCACCAACAGTGGATTAATGTGCCTATTTTTCAGGAACCCAGCAAACACTTGTCATTTTCCTTTTTTTGTCTATGTTGATGATATGACTGATATCAAAGGGAACCTCAAAATTGTTTTAATTTACATTTCTCTAATCATTGATTACTGAGAGTATTTGTATATGACTATAGAAAAATTTGATGTCTACCTTTGGAAACTGACTTTATATACTTGACACTTATTAATTAGGTTATAGCTCTTAATCTGATAAATTTAAATCTATTACTCATATCTTGGAAATGAAACCTTTATCAGAGAAACTTCCTGCAAAGTTTTTTTTTTACCTAATTAGCTATTCCCCCACTAAGCTTAATTGGAAGTTTTCCATTACTTTATATTTATATTCAATATCATATTGCGTGTCTTCTTAAGGGTTAAAGGACGAGTTGGAGGGAAAGAATTTGGAATTCAAAATTGTTTTTAAAATTAATGTTAAAATGGTTTTCTATGATGCTCTACCTCTTGTTTGGCCATTAACCTCTATTGTTCCTGAAGTTATTTTTCCTTGTTCTTAGACATTTTTTGCTATATTCATGTTATTTTGAAGCTGATCTTGGCATTCATGTGCCATTTTTGTCTAGATCTAATTTATTTCAGACTGTTTCAGAGTGCTGTTCAGTTTTCCCAACTACTTTTTTTTTTTTTGCCAAGTACTGAACCTTTACTCCAATAGATGGGGCCTTTGGATTTATTGAATGCTAATCTAATATGTTTGTTTTTCTGTGTTGTGTATCTCTGTGTTCAACTCTTCAATCTCTGGTTTTTTTTAACCAAACCAAATCATTCTGATGATTGCTGGTTTGTATTATAGCTTGAAATTTGAAACTGTTAATCCCTATTCCTTCCTTCGTTTTCATTATTTCCATTGGAAATCTTGGCCTTTTGTTCTTCAACATACATTTTTATTCTATTTTTGTAAAGTAAATGCTTTGGTAGTTTTCCTTGTTGTTCAATGATGTGGTCTCCCATGAAATCATGAATAGGAAGTCTGGGTTCCAAGGTGACATTTGGCTATTCAGATTTGTACTCCAGGGACTTTAGTGAAGTGAGCTCATTGTCTGATGAGGCTGCTGTTTGGTTTGTGTTTCTGTGCATCAATACAATGAAACTCTATTACCTTCATTTATGTGCCCCACTCTGTTCTTCCATTGCCCAACCTGAGCAATGATTGGCTTGTCGAGTCCAAACTAATGGAAGTCTTGACAATTTTATAGGGGAGGTCAACATATTGCCCATGTGATGATGATGAATACAAGAGGGTGAAGGTAGACAGAGGGAAAAATGGCAAGGAATGTAGAAGAGAGAAAAAAGAGAGAGAGAAGAAAGGGGATTGGGAAGGTAAAGGAGAGAGGGTAAGAAAGAGAGGTAGGGATAGAGAAGAAGAAGGAAGGACAAGAACAAAAACAAGACGAAGAAGATGAGAAGGAGGGAGGGAGGAAAAGAGAAAAAAGGAAGGAAAGAAAAAAGACAAAGACAAAGGCAGTAAGGAAGGAAGAAAAGAAACAAAGAAAGAAAGAAAGACTGGGAAATTTTAGTGGACATCAAACACAATATGAGCCAATAGTGTGATGCAGTAGCTAAAAAGCTTAAGGTTGTCTTATATTGCATTATAAGATTCTTCAATTAAGGAGGTGGAAGTTTTTCCCTGATCAGACCAAACTTGGAGTTTTTATTCAGTTCAGGGTGTTGTATTTTAGAAAGAATTCTGGAAAACTACAGCATGCTCAGAGGATGGTGGTCAAGATAGTTAGGGCACCAGATGGAAAATGTAGAATTGCTGATCCCCAGCTTAATACTAGGGAAGGAAGGAAGTAAGGAAGGAAGTAAGGAAGGAAGGGAGGAAGGAAGGAAGGAAGGAAGGAAGGAAGGAAGGAAGGAAGGAAGGAAGGAAGGAAGGAAGGAAGGAAGGAAGGAAGGAAGGAAGGAAGGAAGGAAGGAAGGAAGGAAGGAAATTTGACTGGGATTTTGAAGAGGAGATCCCTGATAAGACACAGGTGACTATTTAGCTTCTTGGTTGTGAGATTCTGTGACTGTACAAGTCAAACATGATGAAATTGTAGAGAAGGAAGGGTAGAGAAGATAGGACATGATGACTTAATGATTAATGAGGTCAAGGAAGCAAGGTGAAGAGGATAGACCAGAGGCACAGAGCCTGCCTACTACATCTCAGAGGCTGAATTATGTATTTTTCTCCACATTCAGCACAAAATGAAGCAATTAGAGGATACCACTACAAGATTAATCTTCCTAAAGTTCTACCTTCATATGATCATTGGATTATATGTCTCAGGTGGAAGAGACTTCAGAGGTCATCTAATTGAAACTCTTCATTTTACAGGTGATGAAACTGAGTCACATAAAGGCTAAGTGACTCCTCCTGTATCATATAGCTAGTAAATATCTGGAGCAGGATCTGAAGGCAGGTCTTCCTGACTCCAAATTCACTATGCCTTGCAAGCGTCAGAAGAATTTGAATCTAAATCCTCTGAGTCCATACTCAATTCCCTTTCCAACAGACTATGCTGCTTCATTATGTCACTCCCTTCCTTGAGAACTTTCCTTGGATTTCTACTACCTATGGTATAAAGTTAAGTCATTCTGTAATTAAAAATGGGGCAGCTTGGTGGGTAGAGCACTGGGCCTGGAGTCAGGAAGATTCATCTTCCTGAGTTCAAATCTGGCCTAAGAAACTTACTAGCTGTGTGACCCTGAACAAGTCACTTAATTCTTAATACTTCAGCCTAGTTTCTAGGATTTCATGAGGAATAATTGAGATAGCATGTGTAAAATTTTTGCAAACCTTAAAACACTATATCATCATCACCATCATCATCATCGCCATCATCATCATCATCATCATCATCATCCCCTAACTTTCTTAGACTAGGGAAATGCAAGGTGTCTCATGCTTCCCCTTCTTACCTTCCTGATGCCTTCAGAAGGATTGGAGACACAGTTATCAGCCCCATTGTTCTTGCTGATGGTCTTCCAAAGCTCAGCAAATGTGCTGTCCTGTTCCAAGGGATTGGTCCCCTTGGCTCTAAAGTATTCATATACAGCTGAGTCTCTGACTGTGCCATAAGATATATCCATTTGTTTGGACAGATCCTGAAATGTTCTGAAAGGCAGAAAAGCATCAAGACATTAGTAATGGGAGACATTTCCTCTGGTCTGAAATGCATCCATAACTTTCTGCAAGACCCACTTCCCTACTGCAATTTCCATTGGCTAATTGAGCAACTTTCTACTGTTTATCTGAAGAGGGGTGTAGCACCCAGCATCTTTTAGCACTCATGGCAGCCAACTGGACACTTCGCCTCCACTGCCTTCCAAGTTCTGTCCAGAGATCTCTCTTTCTTGGGGAAATGGAATATCTAAGAGCTCAACCACAAGGCCTTTGAAGCTCTTGCATGACTCAAATATGAACAGGGAAATACTAAAATTGCAACAGATAGGTTGAGATATTGAAGGAAAACTAATAGTAATGACCACTGCTTCTTAAATCCTCCATCTGTTATTCTGTTCAAGGATTACCTATAATCTGCCTTGATGTCTTCCCTCCCAATCTCAATGCAAATGAACCTCTATTTACTCTCATCCTTCAAAACTCCATCTTCTTATTGCCCAAGAAATATCTGTTTTAGACTATCTTCTGAGTTTACATGCAAGGATAATGCTGATTCATAGGATGCTGTCTTGTTCATTGGTCATTTCCTGTGTGGATGGCAGGTCTCCTCAATTGATTTGGAAGTGCTTTGTGGGTAAACATTCCTTTCCCTATTGTTCTCAATAGCACCTAGCACAATACTGAGTTTATATACTAGAAGTTCATGAATAGAACCAAATTAGGAATGTTTTCACTAGGAGTGAAAAGATCACAAGACTTTAGAATCAAATTTAGAAGAGATGTTAGAAGCCATCTGACCAAATCTCCACATTATATAGATGTGGAAACTGAGGCCCAGAGAGTTTGAATGAATTGCCTGAATGAATGGGACAGCTGGGGTAGCAATGGAAATAAAAGTCTTTGCTTGATGTGAGTGGGCAATCTGATCTGGTGGGTTGAAGGAAAAGTAAGTCCTATTTGATGGCACCATAGCCACTGATCTTAATGGGTGACCTAGAGGAAACTAAACTCCATGGCACTTTAGGATGATGAAAGATTTATAACTGGGGCATGAAGACATGGTAACTATAGTATCGAACCTAAATTCCAGAGAGGAAGCAATCTCATCCCCTAGATCAAAGCACAGAATCCCAGATCAAAGCCCTGTTCACCCCAATCTAGTTATGGCTGAGTTCACAAAGTACATTTTGATCAATTGAGCAATATGTCTACTCACATAAGATGAAGTCACACAATTCCTACCTATGGGAATCCAGGAGATCTATGTTTCCATGTAGTCAAAAGAATTGAACTCTGCTTTGTCACTCTATCTCCCACGGTATCTCAAGTGTACTTATTCCTAGTTGCAGCTCTACCTTGAGTCCCAGAATTACACTGTGGAGCACTGTAGTGGAAGTCACAGAACCTGCCTACAAAGAGCTTGAAGTATATATCTATTTTCCTACAAATTAATAACAATGATAATTATTATAATGATATTAGACACCCATAAAGAACTATGAGGTTTTTCAAGTATTCTGAATACACTTTTTCATTTGTACAAGCATCCAAATGTCTCATCTGTCACTTCTATATGTGTCAACCATATCTATTGGCATCCATTTCCATGCATCTAGAAGGAATGAAACAAATGAGGAAATTATGAATTGGACAAAGCTGTCTCTCTAATGAGTGTTCATTATTTTGTGTATAATTGAAGCACAGGATTTCTTTCCTTCCAAGACTCCCAGATTTGTGACTGGTGCCATTTTCCTTGAATGTAAGGGGTGAAACCTATTACTTTTTCCTCCCACCCTTGTTATTGTTTTTTATCATGCTAATGCAAACAAACACCAGGCTTCTGATGAATGGAAAACATCAGGATGAATTACACAGTTGAGTCAAGTCCTGAAAGGCTTTAAATTGTTGCCATTTCCTCTGGTAGGAAATGCATCCATAACTGCCTGCGAGCCCCAGTGGAGGGCTTTTTCATTCCTTGCATTTGGAATGATGGGGTCCATTTCCTGACTACTCTGTGGTTATTTCATTTCTGTGGGTCTGAGGAGAGGTTTCCCTGTGCTATGCTAGGAACCCCAATGTTTATGGCTTCAAGGCCACTGCTTTCCTGGTATATTTCGATGCTGAAATGCTTAAGAACCACCAGCTTCTTCCACATACTTGCCTTCAAGTTTCATACCTTAGCTTCCTCCATCCCTCTTCTTCAGGTAATAGCTTTCCTCTCTATATTTATGCAAAAAATATTCTTTGGAGAGTGGGGAGGAGGCTTCCTTCTTTCCCTACATGTCTCCATCTACAGATTAGCTAGTGCTAGCCTGAGCTGCTGCAGCAAACTCAGCCGGGCACCTCCCTTAGATCCAATCTCTAAGCAACAGCCATGGCACAGTGAATGCCTCCCTGATGAGACTGCCATGGTGGGCAAACAATACCTAACTAGATGTTTTATCTGCAGTAGTAAAATCCATATTTTGGCTTGCATCTTTTTGATATCCCATTAATCCTCATTAATGTTTGTCATATCCAGGTGCATATGTAATATATCCTTAGGTTCATTCTTCATCTGAAACTCTCCTTCTTATTTCCTTCGCTCCCATCCCAATCATTCATTCCTCACATTTTCTTTTGTTTTCTATGCCTGTTTTGTTTACTTTTCATTTCTAGTACCAACTTGTTCAAAAGCCCAAATTGCCATCCATAACATATGGTTGAAAAAAAAGTTGTAATTGGAATAAAATAAATATATAAAATAAATAAATACATTAAATAAATAAAATAAAAAGCTCAATCTGATATTCTTGCTTTTCTTTACTTAAGATGAATGAATGAATGAGAAATAATTCATTAAGTGAATTAGATACAAATATTGTGCTATGCTTTGAGTAAACAAATTGAAAAGCAAGATAATCCCTGCCCTCAGCCAGCTCACATTCTACAGAGTCAATTCATATAGGAAAAGTCTGCTGCAAGCTAAATGAAAAAGATCTTGGCTGTCTGAGGGGAGGTGGCATTCAAGATTGTTAGATCTCTCTGATACATGCTACCTCTTTTTCAGAAGTAAGTTACATAATTTTTCAGATGGAGAAATTGAGGCCCAGAGAGGTTAAGTAATTTGTCGAAGATGACACAGATAATAAGTGACTGAGGTGGGTTGAGATGAGCTGATGAGATGAAGGTTGTTTCCCCTACTTTGTTGCATCCATTGCTTTTTATAAGATGCCACATCTCAAGTTTGCATGAACTTGTCTGACTCCCACTCTTTCAATTTAATACCCCAAGCTTTCTCTCTTCCCCAAAGCAATTAGGTCTAGTTTTCTCTTTTTACCCTAGTCATCTCTCCTGGAAAAAAAAAGCAAGTTTCCTCTCTGAGCACGCTAAAAGAAGGATAGGAACTGATATAATTCTATGCCTCCTTTGCATTCTTTTTTCCCCATCCCCAATAAATCTATTTCAGTATTTTCTAAATATATTCACAACAAAATAGATAGATGGGTTTATATCATGAGATAAATCATTGCAAAATATTTGTAAATACTTTTTTCAAGTCAAGGAAGTAGTCTCATGAGTGATGGAGATAAATATACTTGGAACAGGAAAGAAATCAATATTCAATATATATAAAAAAGGTTTCACCAACTAGTAAGATGCTGTAATTATGTGACTTTTAAATCCAAGTCATAAACTCCTATTACTCTCTCTTAAGGATAAAAGAAAGAGGTCTAGCAGCTTGAAAAACATGGGAGTTAGGGGTCCAATTATCCCTCCTAATGTGAATATGTTATAAAGACCACAAATACTTTCCTAATTAGCGGAATGTTCTCTTTCCACTGGCATTCTTTCTTTTTTTCCTTAGTGTCTGACTCCAAAAGAGATGTTCTGTTACAAATTGGCCCCAATCTCTAGTGGCGAAGCTCCATAGCCGATATCCTGGGTCCCCTGGATGCTAATGTTAGGCAATGAGGAAAACTGGGAAAAGCACCATTTTGGGGACTAGAGGATTTATCTCTGTAATCTTGGGTAAGTCATTTAATATTTTTGAGCCTCACATTCTTCAACTGTAAAATTTTGGTATTGAACCAGATGGCATCTGTTCACTTATCAGTCAAACCAGTGATCTTTTTGTCCTTCCATCAAATTCTTCCCTGCCACTTATGCCCAAAGATTCTTCTCTTCTCATGGAAGTAGCTCCTCCTAAACCTCTCTTCTTCTCCCAAATCTCTCTTTTTCCCGGGAAACATGGAAAACCTTAAGTGTTGTAAAATGTAAGCAGTAGTCAAAGGGGGCAAAGACATGGAATATGAATGACTGGTTTGTGTTCCCATGTTTTTCCTTAATTCATTTAAGTCTTGGGCAAGGAGTAGGAAGAATGCTTGTGATAGGCTGTGTTTAGCATATTCCCTTTCCCACAATTATCTCAGGGGAAGTTCCTCTGAAATCCCAGCAAACACCACTGTAAGTACAGTCTTCCTTGATTTTAGAAATGGAGGTCTGGACTAGTCACAGATTGAAAAGGTCACAGAAAATCACAGACTGACAGAATCTCAGAGTTTGAAGCAATTCAATATATTGCAAGCATACCAAGGATAGGTATTGTTTCTTTTTTTTATTATTATTTGTGGCCATCTCACCTGGCATCATGCCTGGTATATATGAGATGCTCATTATAAGCTTATTGATTAACTGTCAACTGATTTCAATGTGGCTGTGGGAGGAGAGGGCTAGATGGAAAGTCAGAAAATGTAAATTCAAATCTAGGCTCCGTTTGACCAAGGGCAATTCATTTAGTATATAACCTCTCCTTGCTTCCATTTCCTATTCTACAAAAAATAATATTACTAGATGATCCTGAATATCCCATTTAGCCTTCTGAGTACAAATCATAGGCTCCTAGGTTAAGAAATAAAAGCAGGAGTATGCTTTATAATATTACACACAATCACCTGTCTTCCACTTGATGAATTTCAGTGATGAGAAATTCACTCCCTCATGAAGCAGCC